TCTAATATTAGTCCATTGCTCCGGGTGAAGTACTGCAGCCATTCTTCATACCTAGATACTAGGACTGGAAGCAAGGTTTGTTTCTCTTCCAAAATCAACTTTGATCATCCAAAAAGGCATCATCTCCCCTTTCAGCCTTCCAGAGATGACGTCATCAGAGAACAGTTTGGAAGGACCCTCTGAAACTTTTCTAGATAATCGTTACTGATAACTCAAAGTTAACTGACATGTAGTTTCTTTGGAGTTTTTTTTTTTTAATAGCATTACATTGTACTAGCCTACAGTGATACTGACCTGACGCTTTTCCTCCTGTTCACATATCCTGTGACTTTCTCCTGGAATGTGTCCCAAGACATGTTTATTCACTTTCGTCATTAACAAACGTGAATATTTCAGGGAGGAAACTCTCTTCCAAATAATTAATAATAGTAGACCAGTTTTAGAACTGCTCCATGGCAACCCCACTATGAAACTTACCATGTCTAAGTTTATCCAAGAATTGCTAACATATAAAAGAGTTCCCACCTGCCAGGAGTGACATAACTGAAAGCTCCCCAGGTTGCTTTCCAGGACACCTATATTTTAATTTACATTAGTTTGCTTAGTTCTAAACATGCATTGATGTATTTCCATGTTTACTATATAAACCAGAAGGCAAAAAAAAAAATATATCACTGAAGCAAATAATCCCGTACCACAGGAAATGTGTAGCACTTATGGACCCAGCCTTGATGTCTTCGTCATCTGTAAATTCAAGGAAATAATTCTTGCTTGTTTCCTTCCTCTCAGAGATACAGTAAGGCAAGATGCCAAATGATCTAAACTCACTGCACAAAAGAAGATGTGCAAATTGAAAGCATTGCTTTCTATTTTGCTAAAATTCTTAAAATCTAAGGTATCAAAGCAACTTTGCAGTAGCTTCTTTTCATAATCATAGTTCATTTCATTCACTTCACAGATGAAAAACAGAAACATAACATATGCAACTAACCCAAAGTAAAAAGTGACATAGGGAACTTCAAGAGAATTGTCAGGGTCAAAGTTTAGGCCTGTGACTACAACAAGGATTTATTAAAGATGAGCTTTTCCACTTTTGTGTGTGTGTGTGTGAGGAAGATTTGCCCTGAGCTAACATCTGTGCCAATCTTCCTCCACTTTATGTGGGATGTTGCCACAGCATGGCTGGATGAGCGGTGTGTAGGTCCACACCCGGGATCCAAATCAGTGAACCCTGGGCCACCGAAGCAGAGCATGTGAACTTAACCACTAAGCCACTGGGCCAGCCCTCTTTTCCACTTTTTTTTAAACAAGTTCTTTTTTTTTGTTTTAAAATCAGCCCTGAGCTAACATCTGTTGCCAATCTTTTTTTTTTCCTTCTTCTCCTCAAAGTCCCCCAGTACATAGTTGTATATTTTAGTAGGTCCTTCTGGTTGTGCTATGTGGGATGCCACCTCGGCATGACGTGCTGAGCAGTGCTAGGTCCGCGCCCAGGATCCAAACCTGCATAACCCTGGGCTGCCAAAGAGGAGCATGCGAACTTCACTGCTCGGCCACGAGGCTGCCCCCACCCCATTTTTTGACTTTTAATTGTGAATATTTATACTTCAGATTCATATGATTAAGAATTTCACACATTTAAAGCTGACATAAAATTCTGAGTAACTTTCTTTGACATTTCTGTGGAATATTACATTATGAGAGTGATTTGATTCATATTTAATCACCTGTTTTATAACGACTAGCGGCTTTACTAATATTAATAAATGCTGAGATTTGTAAAAAAGCCTGCCCTTTGACAACAAGAAAATATATAATATCTGTATGGAACTGAGTAAAATACTACAACAATAAATAAAGAGTCATTCCAAACACTGAAAATATCCTGTATAATGTGGAAGCTCAATTTTAAAAGGAAGTTGGAACATTTACCTATGATAAACTATGTCTCTACAAAGAGCAGAGTGTTTTTCTTTTTTTTTAAAGGAAAGTTACAATAGCATATGATTGCTTTTATACAAAACACAGTTGCAAAAATACAAATGAAGACATATTGGCCTATATGCGTATCCTCAGCACTCAGTGTCAAAACACTTGATTTGGAAAACTTAAGATGTTCTAGCCACGTTTTTGTGATCTGAGTTTTTAAACTACTATCCTTTGTTTAATAAGAATAAGGCATTTTGTGTTTAAAAATATTATCCCTGGAACTCACCATGTCAAAGTAACTAAGTCATAGCAAAGCAACCATGTGATTGCTAGATTTTAAGCATGGCTAGACCCTTAGACGAAGAAATTTCCAAATAATCTCATTCATTTTCCCATATATATTGAAAACTTGTGAGCTGTCATAAATGATTTAGAACATGTGCAAAAAGTATGTTTCATCCATGAACAAAGTTAAAAATATTTTTCTTCAGAGGAACAATTCTTAATGCTTTTTCATTCATGACACTGGCATCATTAACCATTTAAATACTCACAGTCTGTTAATGCCTAATCTATCTTCTTCCCTGAAACTAGAAAGAAAACATAATTGTGTGCCACTGGGACTAATATGGGAATTTCTACAGAAAGACTTGCTTCTAATTTTCCAGAGAGAAAATGTTCTCTTCTTATTGAAACTAATCAACTCAAGTGAAAAATGGATAGAATCCTTTGTATGACCTCAAGGGGATGCAATATCTATCAATAATTGTCTCTCTTTTCACACCAGTTACTACTGACTTCAGTGGAAATTCCCTGGTCTCACATTCTATGAAGTAAAATAATGAAATTCTTTTCGTATTAAATAAGATGACAGGAGTCTGAAGCAGTAATAGTAGCATTTATCCTGAAAAATATTATGTGAAAATAAAGATTCTTATCCCTACCTATCACTACTTCCTAGTTTCAAACTAAACATTAGAGAATTATTTTTATAATATGTAATACCTTAGTTATATATTATTTAACATATCTATATTATATATTAAATATAATTTATTTGATATATTTTTAAAATTTCCAATAGTCCAACATTTATTAACAGTTCAAACAGTTAATAATATCCACTAAATAATGTTCTTAATCATTGTAATTCAATGTTTTGGGGGTTTTTTTTTAGTTCCTAAAGGCTTGCCATTATTTTTCATGAGTTAGGACTCCGTTTAGTGAAGACAGAGGTTATTGTCTTGAGACCCCAACTGCGTAATCATGTAAGCATCTGCCAAGAGTCTATTTTCTTCCAAGAAATTACTAAGTTAAAACTTAGAGTTCTATATTTTTTTATTAAACATACCCGTTGACCAATGATCATCCTAAAATATAAAATATATCTAATAATACCTGTTATTACTGCCTCCTTGGATTAAATTGACAAAAATGTCTGAATCCATACGCTAACTCTTTTAAGGACAAGAGCAAGAAGAATAAATAGTACTTTCTAACTACTGGTTCCTTCTCTTATTGCAATCCAACAACATAAGGTAGGTTCTCTACAATGGACTAAGGATATAGTTCCTGACCAAGAAGGAATACAGAATGTCTTCAAACAGATTAAAAAACTCTTCATGTCTAGCCAACTCTTATATGTATTGCTGTGGCTACAGAGCATCAAGAAATGGTTCTAGCATCCAGAACAAGTAAGGAATGTATTAATTTGGCCTGCAAAAAGGCCTGTTCTGTCCCTATTATTCTCATTATCAGTCAAAAATGTCTGATGTGGGAGACAAGAGGCAGGTTACAAAGCCATCTCAAGGTCTTCAGGAATTAACGTGAAGAGGTTTTCTGAACTTCAGTGCGTCCAGGAGCTGGTGCTGCATTCCATTTCCACAGTTTTAGGACATAGGGTCGTACTGACCTCAGGGATGGAAACTGGCTGGTTTCCTTTGTTTCTAACACACCATCAACAGGAGAAGGTCATACTGGAATTTTAATAATATGTAACAAATGTATATGTGGCCACTGAAATATGTGTATTCACAGTTTTTTTGGAAGATATTGACTTCAGACTGTCAAGTCTGATGAACAAAATCGCACAAACATAAAAAAACCCACATAATTTCTCTATCTGCCAAAAAAATACACACATATAAATAAAAATGGTGCACACACAAACACAGACACACAGAGACGCAAACTCTCAGTCATGCCCTCTGGGAAACTATCATGGTAACACCAGCAAAAGCAGTTGTTCTAAACCAAGGAAGTTATCCAAACGCTTGTGCAACTGTACATTGGTGCAGCAGGCGAGAGAAGACCCACCTCACTCGGAGAGACAAAACAATCAAATAAAACAAAATTAAAAATCACAAGAAAACTTAAACTCACTTTTGAAAAAAACAAGCAAATAAGTCCAAGTGCCCAGTGAGGACATACTGGCAAATTATTGGCAAGGCCACCTGGCTCCAAGTCAAGGCTGGAAATAAGCTGAGATATAGTGTGTCAGGTACTTTTTCGGTTATAACGTCAAGGTGTCAAAAGAGTATCTAGAATGGAGAAAGAGTGTGTATTTTCTTATTTGACAATATCTAAAGAAGCCCCATCTTCTGTGTTGAAAGTCAATGTCAAAGAGCTAAGGCATTCAGTTTTCAAAAGGAGTGAACCAGAACGTTGCGTGGAGACTCTAAATGTCCCATTCAGTGCTTACACTCAATGCCTAATTCAATGCCTTGCAAACAACTGACATTCAATAAATATTTGCTGAAAGAATGAATTAATAAATGATAAACAGTAAATGTATTACAGTTAATTGGTCAATCAACATGAAAATATTCAGTTAATTGGCCAGTCAACATGAAACTATGTTTAAAATATACAACATGACTTACTAAAGTGGAATTGCTTCTTTTATCCTTCAAAATAATAACTTATGTTTAAAAAATTCTGCACATATTTTCAGACTGTCGACTTACATATTAGCATTGTTGCCACTTTTACTCCCCCATCAGTGCATTTTTGCAACTTTACAAAATCCTCTGAGTAAATGGACTCACATATTGCATCCAACCATTAATGATTACCTTTGTTACAAAAGTATTCCACTTCTTCACAGCTCAGATTTTCAGGCCCCAATTCTGTGGAAAAGCTCTCCTCCAATGGAAAGTCCCCCTTTGAGACGATGTCCGTTTCCTCTGATGGATACTCTTCTTCTTCCTCAATGGCATCTTCTAGCGGCCCTTGAAAGAGAATCAGGGACACTGTACCAAAAACATCCAAAGAAGACAGTGAAATCAAATCCTTAAATAAGGTCGTTTTGATTAAGATGGTGAGGAAAATGGATTCTATGAACAGGCCAAGTAGTGCCATCAAGAGGACTCACACAAGATAATGCCACAACCATATTCACAATTAACACCGACCTACGATGAGAAATGGAAGGAAGCCAACGCCTAAAGTGACTACATAGAAAGCAACCTCCATCCCAGTCCTTCCCCACCCCAAACTCAGGCCCAAAGCTGATTTTTCCCTTCTCTCCTGAAGAGCAAAACTGTGCACTTTATGTTCATTTGTTAGAATTAACTGCCTGGTAAAGAGTACAAGTCTCTTTTACAGTGTTGTACAATTTTACCTGAGATTTTAATAAAGATTTAAAGTAATTGAATGCATTTTAATTGAACTGAGATTTTAATAAAGTCTATACTTTTAAAAATCCATCTTAAGAGTGGATTCCAAGAAAAGATTTCATTATATGTGTTTGAGGCTTGAAGAAAAATTACATATTTCTCTCCCTGATGAAAGCATAACCCTATTCATAATTAATTGAATTTTTTCTGAAATGAAAAGTAGTTTTCTAATGAAAAAATGTAATTTGTATTTATGTGATACTTTTTCAGTAATAAAAATACAACTCCCTTCGAGTGAATGAGAGTGAGGTGCACTACATTAATGGACCTATTTTACTGAAAAGGAAGGGAGGGCTGTAGTTGTTCAGACGGATCTGAAGTGGACTACGTGGGAATACCACACGGCTGATTTTCCGACTGCCCCAAAGAATCAAAGTATCCGATTCATTTTACTAAGCAGAAGCCTGCATTTGCTCCTAAAGAAGCAATGTGGCATTTTATCTAAAGAACACAATTATGGTAATTTGTACTAATTGTCACTCATGTCAGCAGTCTCATCAGACAGGCTAAATATTTAAAAGGCTTAGGCAGTCTCTTTCTCTTGCTTGTTCGAAATGTGCTAGGAAATTTCCAGGACCAAAGAAGAAATCTTATAAATAATTTAAAATATTGCATTTATTACAATTTTTATATACGTGTGGGCAAACAGGAATAGGTCCCTACAACAAAGGGGTGTATCGGTGTTTTCCCAAAAGCGTTTCCAAAGGGCTGAATTCATATGACACATCTTCACGGAGAGAATTAGTTACATGGATTTAAATTAAGGGACATCCAAGCAAATCATTCCTTATGTAGTTTCTCTGTCCATTTTAAACATTTATTTTTTTCTTTTTTTCTTCAAAATAACAAATGTTAAGGAAGAAAGGATGCCCTAATTCCAAACACTCTAGTAAGGTATTTTCTTATACTAAAGGTAGCGGGTGAAGCAAACCATGGATTCTGTTTTTGCACAAACCACATTCAAAAATCATGGATCTCATATTAGTTTTTATTTCTTATTCATTATTTCAAGTTTAAAATTTATAATCTTTCACCTTTCACAACAATTATGTGAAGGAGCAAGACATGCAAGGAATATATAAAATAGTAACAATATAAAATATTACAATCATTAAAACAGTTATCTGATAATTCTAATAGTAGTTCTGAGCCTAATGAGGAATATAATAGAATATTTTCCATGTTTTTATTTTTTTCAAGCAACTTAATTATAATAACAAGTTTGGTCAAAAGCAGACACCTGAAGCTGTCTCATCTGTGTTTCATGTAGGACTTTCAAAGGATTTTCTTGTCTTTAAAATTACCCAGTGGGGTGGGTATGGGAATTATCACTATTTTTCTTTTGTAGATCTGGAAAGTAAAGCTCAAGAGGTTAGTTAACCAGAATAAGCTAATAAGTGGAAAAGTTGATAGGAAAACTCAATGTTTCTTGTAATACCTTTTATAAATATATCATACTGCTACGCAAACTATTCTTTGGCAGTTATAAACCCATTCCTTCATAAAAAAAAAAAACTATAAAACCTAGATAACTTGTAAACACAAAAATCTTCAAAAATGGTTAATTGATATAACAACTATTCACAGACGCTTAAAGATCTAGTGCTTAAAAATTAAGAAAACTCTTGCTCCTCTCAGATGACTGAGAATATATATTACAAAACATTAAACCCCCCGAAAAATCAGGAAGATCTTGTAGGCTTTACCAAAACTAAAATAACTGATTACTAATATTTAATTGTTTACATAATTTATATCCATACTAAACCAATCTGTAAAGACACTGCCTTAATATCAATTATAACAGAAGCAACAATATACTCCTTCTGGAATATATACTCTGAGTTTTGCTAACAAACAATAAATCTCTAATTGTAAAATAAATATTTTAAATAGTTCATGTATATTTTACTAAATTTCTCTTTTTTATTTCTGGATGTTCTTCAATTACAAAAGTCTGTATATTATTTAAAAAACGCATGCATATTATAAGAATAAAATTAATAGTAAAAAAATGCTTTCTTTTTTAAAAATGAAATTCCAAGCATAATGCTAACATTCTTAGAAGGGTTATTATTAAAGATAATATATAATTGAACAATTATTTAAAATACTCAATGATTTAACAAATTGTCTCTAACAGTATGACGTTAAAGTCAAATTTAAAAGTTTTATTAAAAATTAAACGGAAAAGCTCATGTGAAAAATTGAAAGAAAACAAAATCACGAAGCACTGATCTATGCTTAATAAACTCTAAGCAAGCCATCCATGTTATGGGTTTGTATGTATATAAAATAACTTTTATTTACCAAATATTATGATATGATCTTGATTGATAGTATTCTATATTCCAGGGGCTGTTTTCTTTTACGTGTTGGCTATCAATTTGCAATTCCAAGCAAGTAATTAAAAATGACTATTTTCAAAAACAAACTACAAAACCCAAATGAAAGGTGAAAAATCCTTGAACTCATTGTTCAAAATACATGAGATCTCATTGTTAATATTGAGAACAGACACAGGAAGGTGATTTAATGGCCAATTTGTATTTCTCCCAAAGCAAGTATCAGATTTATAGAACTTACTCTACTTTAAAATGTGAAATTACTAACCGTTCCTTTAGCCATGCTATCAAATCAGGCTCTGGCAAAGAGGTTTCTCTTAAAATGCATAGTATTTATGGTTTAAGATCAGATCTCACTCTTGTCTCTAGATTGCGTGTTTCTTTAACAGGAAAACCTTACAGATAATCAGTGGCCATAAACTAACATTTTAAAAGGCTAAGAGACACTTGAAGCACAAATACAATTAATAGCACCAATGAAAGAGGGAGTGCAGGAAACTCCCGTGTATGGATTAGTGGGCACAGAAGTCCACTTCAGAAAAATCACCACACATAATTTGACACAAATAATAATATCTACTCAGAAAAGGCTCACGACTCAGCTCCATGTGCCCTCATGGAGAAAATTACTTCTGATTGAGGCCACTTGGCAGGCAAGTGTAAGGAAATCTGAATTTCAGCTCTTCAATTGCCTCTGATTTATAGATATTCAGACACAGTCACTAGAATTAATAGTCTTAATGTTTATAAATATAAACATTTACCTCATTGGAAAATGCTAATAATTAGCTATGCATCCTCAAGCTAGGAATACGGTGGTGCTCTATGTCGGGCCCAGAATGCTGTTAATCATCTCTCAGAATGAGGAGGCATCCTTTCCTATTTTATACTGGATGAGTAATAGAGATTACTGGGAGATTCTGGTGGGTGCAAAGTAATACTTCCATTTTCAGAAAGGGAGATAATTGGGTACTGGGGAACGATTTGAATTGAGCACAGCTCCCTCTGCCCTCCAGAGATAAAGCTGAAGCTAGGAAGGGTTGTGCAAATCCACAACACCTGACAATACTGATGGCCATCCAATGTACGGTCGAGCCTTTCATTTAGCCAGCACCAAAAGTCATACTGCAAAAGCTGAGCCTAAGTGTGGGAGAATTTTTCATTTGGTGGTTGTTTCCATGATCTGGAGTTCGTAGAGTGCAAAAGGGACCTCTAAGATTAAGTAGTCCAACCCTATACACGTATTGATAGCATAATCATTGAATGAAATGAAAATAAAGAATTGGATTTGGATGATTAAGAAGCAGTTTGAGGAGTACTTACTCCCCAGATAAACAAATTTATGAGAAAATTATTGCTACAATTTGAGGTGGTTAAAGAAATCCCTGAAACCCATCCATAGCCGTTGTAGTAAGAGCCAGAAGGTGACAAAGAAAACCTCAGCAGGAGCCAGCTCCGTGGCCCAGTGGTTAAGTTCACCTGCTCCGCTTTGGCGGCCCAGGGTTTCGCCGGTTTGAATCCTGGGTGCGGACATGGCACCACTCATCAGGCCATGCTGTGGCAGCATCCCACATGCCACAACTAGAAGGACCCATAACTAAAAATATACAACTATGTACCGGAGGGCTTTGGGGAGAAAAAGGAAAAATAAAATCTTTAAAGAAAACTTGAGGGAAAAAAATGTAAAAGATACATAAGAACTCAGAGCAAAGAGGATTAAAATCAGCAATATAATGAGGAATGCAAGAAACAACAAAGGCCAACATAGTAAATATTAAATAAAGGAATATGTGTCTTTCAACATAATGTTGTATCGCTAAATAACTTTCTACCTTGGCAGCTGACTACAAACTAGACCAACCCTCACCTAAATGTCAGATTGTCTTTGTTCATATAAATCCAAAGCACTTCAGAATAAAGGCACCCAAGAAAGAAATTATATTCTACAGAAATTAATATACATCGTCAAGTATGAAGGAGGGGAAAAACTGCCAGATTCTGTGGTTCTGTCTGAAGCAGTATCCCCAAAAAGAGGTCCTTTCTCTTAAGCACTCACTGGCATTAATTATTATGAATTATTTTAGTTTGGTTTTGCATGTCTTTTGATTAAAACAAGACAAACACTTTGTCATAACGGAATACAGAGAGCATTCAATCTCTTCTCCATGCATTAATATTCTAAGCATTCGAGAGGCTGCACAAGACTAG